ATACATACTTGTATTAACAGATCACTTTACAAAGTATGTGGAAGTATTGGCAGTTCCAGATCAGACAGCTGAGACATGTGCCTCAAAAATATTAAATGAGTTCATTTCACGCTGGGGTTGCCCTTTAACTATACACAGTGACAAGGTCGAAATTATGAAAGTAAAATATTTCAAGAACTCTGTAAAATGCTCGACATACGGAAAACAAGGACCAGTGCTAGAAACCCGCGCTGTAACGGAATTTGTGAACGATTTAATGCTACGCTCTTGAAAATGATCAGAGCTTTTCTATGTGGTGAACAGCGCGACTGGGATTTGAATTTAGGCTGTCTCGCTGGAGCCTATAGATCTACCCCTCACACAACAACAAAGCTTACACCCAATTTATTAACATTAGGGAGAGAAATAAGAATGCCAACAGAATTAGTATATGGAAGCCTCACAAACACACCTGGTGAAGAAGTGTCTAGCTACTGTCATTATATTGAAAATCTTAAAGACAAGATGCAACATGCCCATGAAGTTGCTAGGAAACACATTGGACTGGCTGCAAAAAGAAATAAGGACATTTATGATACAAAAATGGTGCATAATAACTACAGAGTAGGAGATCTTGTATGGTGTCTTGCAGAGTCAAGAAAGATAGGTATTGCGCCAAAGCTTGAAAGACTCTATAGTGGGCCATTTGTAATAATAAGAAAAACATCAGAAATTAATTTCACACTTCAAATTGATGAAAGTGGTAAGGAGCGCCTTGTACATCACAACAAACTAAAGAAGTATGAAGGAAACATGCCACCAAAATGGGCCGCAAAAATTAGCATGAGACTTCATAAGGCTTAAAGACCAATAAAGGCATGCATAAGAATTACAATGCGTAAATGCATACATGGTTTTACCAAATTAGTTAAAATGTTCATTGTTGTAAAATATTATTTTCATGATGAATGAAATAATGTTTTCTATGCTTTGTTTTAAATTGTTTTATAGATTGTTTTATATGATTACAGGTTCTTGCAGCATGAACGGTCCTGAAAAATATACTGTAGGAGGATCACCTTGATTTATCCATTTGTTACCATGTTGTTTTAATTGGAATTAATTGGCTATTTCAGAGTCAAATGGAATATTGTTCTTGGACGGTGTTGAGGAAAATACTAAAACAAAGACATATCCTTGGAGCAGGAGCAGAGCTGATTAGTCATGCTGAAGGAGAATAAATTTTCTTGTTGCTGTTTCATTACTGTGATTTTGGAATTACTTGTATTTAAAAGATGGTGATGTTAATAAAGTGAAAGGCTAATTTTATGGATTTGTTTTGGATAATCCCTTCTCCCTACCTGATGTTTTAACATAGTCTGTCAGTGCATAACTATATATTTGGCGGGTGGATATGTAATGAGGAGTTTTGAAACTGTGAGCAAAAATTCTTTTATTGTATTTTGCAGGCAAACAATGGATCTGAGAACAGCGCAGGAAGTAGAGCAGGATAGGAAAGCGAGGCATTATGGGAGGGCTTATCAGTGTTTGCGTTGCTTACATAAGGAGGGGAAGGCAGTGATTGACGTTAAGAGGAGAATCGAGGCTCACATAACAAAGTACCACTTGAGGCTTGATGAGTGTGCCCATTACTGTAGGCTGTGTTTTTTCCGGTGCTGGGACCGAAAGACCCTGGAAAATCATATAACGTCATACCAGAGACATGTAAGGGTGGCCAGGGAGCAGAGTGTGGATGGAAATGACTTTAAATATCTGGTGTCCAACCAGTCTCATTATGTGCTTGGAGCGGCTGATTATGTGATCCTGTCTAAGGAGAGGTCTGTGGAGCATTTTAAGAGGAAGGAGGGCGTTGAGAAGAGTGATATGAATTATGAGCCTCTAGAGCCTCTATCTCCTCTATCAGTTGCAGTGCGGAGCTGTTTAGGTACCTCCAGCTCTACACCAGATTTAGGACCCGAAGTGTCAGCTATCCTTGACACCTTGAGTATGTCGGAGTTGCAGGGGCAGGAATCGGGTGATCAGCAGGAGCCGCTAAATCTTAAGGTGACGATCAACGATGGTGAGGAGGACATTTTGGGAGTGTTGTTACCACGGGAGAAGAGGGTTATTGAGGAAAACGAAGAAGGGGAAGGGGCCCGCACCAAAAATCCAAAGGACGGGGGGACCCAGAGTGGAAACATGGGGAAGCGCCCCAGGGAAAAAGGCCCCCTCACCAAACAAACCTTTGTACAAGCTTTAAGCCCTTCTAGTGAAGATCAACAATACCGGCGGGTAAGTTGGGGGGGAGATCGGGAAAAGAAAAAGGTTGTCAAATAGGAAAAAACTGTAAAACAGAAAACTTTGGGGGATAAGGGGGTTGGGAGAAAAATTGGAGGAGCATTAAAAAAGGCCAAATAGGGGGTGATTGCGAGGAGGTGGAAAAAGGGGGTACAGGAGTTTTAAAGGAGGAGGGGCAAGGGCGAGGAAAAAAAGGAGGAAGAGGAGCGAAGGAGAAGAGAGACAGAGAGTAAGGATAAGGAGAACAGAGATTTGGAAAGAGTAAGAGGAAACGACAGAGAAACGCAGAAGGAAAGAGAGGAAGGAGAAAGAAACAGGTCAGGAACGGAGAGAGAAGAAGATCGTGAAAGGAGAAGATTTGGAGCCAACAGACTTAGTAATAGAAGGTTTTAAAATGTATTGTATATTGCTGAATTTTGTTCTATGCTGTATTTTTTTTATTAGTTTGTTGAAAAGTATAATCAGAAATGTAATACAGAAGTGTTAATTTTGTTGCAAATATAGATTTTTTTTATTCTTAAGAGAATTATTCTTTTGGTCAAGTTATTCTTAACACTTGTTCTTTCATTCATTATATAAATTTGTATTTAAGTCTAGTCAGATTATTAGTTTAAAATATATTACTTATTTTGACAGACAATTAATATTCTATTCATTTTTATCTTCGAGATAAGTTTTATTATCAGTCACAATACAGTATTTTATAACATTTTGATCTCTAAATTGTTTAACATGTGATAAATAAATACTCATCATTTTTATTTTGTTTGATTTTTTTTCATACTGTTTCTTTGTAAACATGCTATGACATTTTATTTAAATATGCCGTTAAATTCAGATTTCGTTGTTAAACTATGTTTAAATATTTATCTAAGGGTACTACTTCACATTTTATTTTATATTATAAGGTGCTACTCCATGTTTGTATTTTTAAGGTGCTACTCCATGTTTGTATTTTAAGGTGCTATTCCATGTTTGTAATTTAAGGTGCTACTCCATGTTTGTATTTTAAGGTGCTACTCCATGTTGATAATTATTATTTAAGATGACTAAGAGTAATTTATTTAAAGTCTACATTTGTGTGCTTGCATGTCGGTTGGAACTTCGACATGCTGAGCCGGGGGTAATGTAGTGCCCCACATATGGGATGATTAGGTATACCTTAACTGGAGTATTGATTTTTTATGTTGACCTTTCTGTAACTCACGTAATTTGACAGGTCTATTTATAGAACTGATTTATGTCATTAGGTGCAAAGAATAATATGTTTTCATCACCTATTCATTTTTACTTTGATATATGTTATTGATTTAAACCAGTATTTTTGCATGACATCACCTGTTACTGATGTAAGGTGCTTTTATTTTTAATAAGCTTTGTTTACATTTGATCTGTCAACCACTACTCTCTTGGAATTGTGGGTGATGACATCACAAGGTCAAGTTCACTGTCTGACATTTTTATCAGTAAATTGTTTTCTCAACTGGCATCGCTTATTACAAGGGTTCAGTGCAGATTTTATTGGAGAAAATGTATGTATAATGACTTTAAATCTTTTGTGCATGTATTAATGTGATAATTTAACAGAATTCTATTGAAATTATTAATGTAACCTTTGTCTAAAAATAGTCACTAAAAGTTTTGTCCGCCATAATTTTATGACGGTTTTTCTCGAACCCGCAATATTTTACGACGGATTTCCCTCATTTGTATGGGAATCCTGTAGATTTATTTGACGGTTTTCCGGCAACTTTTGTGCCGGACTGCCGGATTTTTGGCGACTATATAAGGGTTCCCACTCAGATTTTCGAGGACTTCGATTTTCTTTGGCTTTTGGTAAACATTGATTTTTGCATCTTCTTTTCAAACTCTACTGTATTTATTTTCGGACATTAAATTTTGGATAAGTAATTACATTATTCTTATAATTATTTGAGGGATTTTAAAGATAGATTTTTTTGCATTTGATGAGAATTGCATTTTATTATTTTATAACTTAACTTAAAGTGGGAAGCCTTGTAGACTCTGTAATATTATTTTAAATGCACTGACAGACTTTAAACTCTTTGCAATTCTTTGTGCTATTATTTTATTGCATTATTTGATGTTTGAAATTTACTATCCTGACATTAGTTTATTGTTAAAGGAATTTATTAAAATAAATTCATTTGTTATAAATTTAACTGAATTTTAGTCATCATTTCACATTTGTGGTTTATTTAAGGTGGTCTCCCCATTTGATAATATTCTTAAGGTGATCTCCCCATTCTGGTAATATTCTTAAGTATTTATTTCCGAAGTCCAGCCTTAGTTCATTAGCATTGTGATCAGTCAATTGTCCGTTTGAACGTCCGATCGTCTCATCATTTTATTACGTGATATTTCGTGGCGCTCACAGGAGCACTACAATATATAGCAGTACAGTTTTTTTTCATTGATTCATATAGGAAAAAAACTCAATTAATATATAGCAGTTGAGTTTCTTTTCGCACCTTGTATATATCAGTGTAGCTTTTATCAGAGAGGTTCATATGGGACAGGGGTAGCGAACATTCCCAGTAGCAATAAAATTTTCTTTCGTTATTTTTTGTTGATGATCAAAAGTTTACCACAACCATGCTTAGATGCTGATAATTGAGATACACATATGTACCTGTAAGCAATATTATATTTCTACTTCAAACAAGCATTTAAATAATCACATGAAATATGATCTACTTCAGATACCGCAGAAGTGTTTCTTGTGATATCAAAGTTCGATTTAGTTCTTGACCCGTGTGTTTATAACTCAACCGGAAGTGACGAAGACAGTATGACACTTGAAGACTTCGCCAAGAAGGAAAGCGAACTGGCTCCCGAGTTTAATATTGTTGGAGCATTGGAAGATAACCGCTTTCGTTGGGCAAATTATACGGACAAGATTCAAGGCAGAAATAAACACATAGAGAATATTGCTCTCAAATTCCTGAAACGAATGGTTCAACCTGGAACCCCACAGACAGACCCGACAGACAGACTGGAACCTGTCGTCGATACATGGAAGACTTTTCAACTGTACATGTTTAGATTAACGAACCAGATCAAGCAGCTCTTCTTACAAGATATGCAGTTAAATATAACACCGGCTTGGTTTGTTACAGCTGTTTTGTGTGTATTGGTTATTGCAGTACTGTACAAACTACTGATGTCCAGTGTTTAAAGTGGATAAGTCAAGAAAACTACGGCTAACTCCGGATCACTAGTCATCTGAAAACTGTGTTTACCCGTGCGTAGGACCAAACATACTCCGGTGAGGTGTTTAAAGTAGACACACGCTACCACCGAGGCACAATACCTATCTATAGACTTCAGGATTTACAAAAGGAATATATTAAAGGAACCTTCTACGAAAGCGAACTTCAAAAAATAAACGTTGACCCTAATCAAACTTGGAAATTACAAAAAGGATTAAAACCCCGTGGCAAAGGGAGAAACAAACACTATTTTGTAAAAACAGCTGGATAAATGCTAGTGATTTAAACTGATTTTACTGCTTACTTTTCAGTATAAATGTAAATCTGTTTCTGTCATAATAACTGTGTTCTATGTTTAAACTGTATTTATTTAATGTAAATAAAATTGTATATAGTGTATTTAAACCTTTATTTTTTTAATTAAAACAATACTGTTATATGTGCAGCAAAGCGTAAAACCAGTGTCATCTGCTTTATACAATAAGACCGATACAATGTTAACCAAGTAAACTAGTTAAACTGCTAACTGTTTAAATATCAGTTTACATCGTCTGCTCATTTAGGGTAAATAAATTGACTGTTCAACCACAGTAGTCGTAATGTCAGTGTATTTAACGATGTTGTCTCTACCACGGCCAAAGTTAAATGAGCGAAAAATAAAGTCCAATAAATAGGCCTCTTATCTGATTGACTATTGGGCAGTTGATATCTGTAAAATTATGAAAACATATAATAAAATGTTTACCTGTGTCAGTATGAATGCCTTTGGCTGTAAACCGATGTGTATCTTTCGATGTAAACCGCTCAAGTGATGGTAAATTATTGAAAAAAAAGTTAAATATCTCAAAGAAAGTCAAACGGGATTAAACTTTTTCGCGTATTTTACGATTGGAAATATGATTTAGTACTGTCGTAAGGAGAAAAAATCGTCTGCTGTAAACGACCAAAGTTTAAAACTGACGTCGTCTGCTATGTTTATTTAAAATTGAAAATAAAATCAAATGATAGAATGCCTAATACGCTTAGTTATAAAATGGCAGATTAGGTCTACAAGACAAGATGGCGACTCGCTATTGTTACGCTTGAGTGATTTCATTTTTTTACTCAAAAAATGTGGTCTATCCTTCACCCCTTGCCTACTTGATGAGACTTATGACATTTCTGTGTTTAAAGAGTTACAGTTATGACATAATTATTAAAGGGATGAGACGTTCATTTAAAGTTATAAATGCTTATACATGTATTGATTGAAAATGTCCTTAAACTTGGATCAAGCTATATAATTTATAAAGTGTCAAAAGATTATATTCTGAATTGCTATTCTATTTCTTTCTAACATGTTCAAAATTTCAAAAGGACAATTTCTGCCTTATCTATTTGTAATGGAGGGACACCGGTCTCAACCACAAGGTCTACAGAGTCAACCCGATAGAGTAGATTGTTACTTCCACTTGAATAAATTTTTGCACTAAATTTTATAAAGTGGATGTTTTGTTCCACACGAAAACCAACAAAGAACAAAAAATCACCGGGAGCCAGATGAAAACATGAAAATACAATCTACCACAAAGTGTTTCTTTTGTTGTATTTTCATGTTTTCGCCCGGTGCCCCCCTGATGCAAAACACAAATCAGCCTTCATAAAATTTCTTATCATAGAAAACAATAACTGTTTAAGCCCTTTTTCAGAAAAAAGTAATTATACAATATATAAATTGTCATTTTGATTAAGATTATAAGTATGTAAGTTTTTTTTTTCTTATTTGTTTATTTGTTTAATTATGAATTAATCTACCTGTAAATTAAAACAATCTAAAAATATCTGTCACGGTTTAAAACTGTTCACTTTTTAGGGTAGAAAATGTGTTATATGTGTTAGCGGCCAGATAACACAATCGCTACAGACACGGTACATTATTCTGTTGGTCACAGGTACGAGTTCTGGTCAAGCTGAAATCAATATTGGGGGAAATATGCTGTGGTTTAGATCTGTTCATTATTAAAGAGAAACTTGTGTAGCCGGCCCGATAGCTAAGTTGGTCTTCTGACAGTCATGGGTTCGAGTCATGGTCAGACAGTTTCAGTCAGGTTGAGAAGTTGATTTGCAACTGACAAATGTTTGGTTCATTTAACAGATTGCATTGAAATTGAAATGGACAAAGGCAGAATTGTATGCACGATACTTTTAGATCTACAAAGGGTACTTTATATAGTTGATCACTTTATGATTAACTAGTATTATATAAAACTATATAAAATGTCAGGATTATCTAATGAACAGCGACGTTACAAATGTGCAGTATTATATATGTATATAAAGATCTACACTGATATTAAGCCGCATATATACAATAACATCACCAAAGCAACCATTATTGGTCAATATATGTTTAAACTTTTTATTTTGAATTCAAAATGCCCGTGCATACATAAGTTAGCGTATTAACTTGATAATTATTTAACAGAAATATACATAGATATAAACGTACAAAAGACTTTATAATTAATACATTAAATATGTAAACATAAGAACGAAATGAAATCACATATATATTTAAGTGTATTGTTTTGTATGCAATTATTTAAATTTTAATTTAGATTACAGGCAAACTTGTTGTCTATACGGACAAGTCTTGGACAAGCGCAAGAAATCTATATTGACAAAAAGTCTAGTTTCGTATTGCGTTCGATGTTGATCATCAACTAGGAAGCACAACTAAATGTTGGCATATATAATTTAATCAGACAACAAATGATTGAAATAATTCTGTGTGACAACTTTGTTCCTTTGATGTCAAATAAATGTAATTATTACACGAAAAATCGCCAAAAATGTAACTTTCTGTAACGAATGACAATTCGCATATAACAGAACATGTATTACTTTTCTCTTGTTATAACTGATACGCACATTGTCACTTACTATAAATTTGAACGGTTTCAGTGTAACGTCTGATCGTTTAGATTTTGAAGTTTGCGCGAAGTAGGTGGCTAATCGCACTTCCTCCTGATTTGTATCCTTGACATCTGCGGGTCTCATTCCAATTGTCCGATGATAGGTTGGATTATAATTATCAGCAATGTCTTGTAACACAGGTAGAAACGTACTAGTCTCCATGTACGAAACATAGCGCATGAGTCTAGTCTTAATAGTTAAAATGGCTCTTTCCGAGGTAGACGCCTTTGTCTCATTTTGAGTAGGAAAATAATGAATTTCTTCTTTCTTCATGAGCGCTTGGACCTTCTTGGCGTTAAACTCTTGACCTGAAATAAATAATTGTTGTGTAGTATTTGTCCTTCATAAAATATATACATGTGTACATGTATACCTATATACTTAAATAATATTAAGTGATATAGAAAATCAGATTTACAATAGTTGTATAGTTGTAAATAATAAGGTCTATTTTAAATTTAATTATAATTGTAAAAAGTAAATGCTTACCTTTGTCAGTAATTAGTTTGGCCGGTGATCTGTCTGAAGATGTAAGGATTTTCTGACAGGCTTGAGCTACTTCTTCCCCAGTTTTGTGTTTTAACGGCTGTAACCAAACGTACTTGGAGAATGTATCTATCACCAATAAAATGTATTTGAAACCCTGGTTCCGATCAGCAAATTTCACCATACCGATCAAGTCAGCCATCCATGAATCGTCTTTTTCAGCACTTACAATATGATTTCTTTGAAATCGTCTCCTCACTGGTTTATGCAGGCTGTATGACTCCTGATCATGTAAGAATTTACGTATTCTGTGCATACCAATATTGAATTTTTCATCACATTTCATCACTTAATACAGTTTTTTGAGGTCCAGCAAACGCGCCAGGATGTTTAGGATCGTAATAAATTGTTTTTAAATAATCTTCCCAAGGAGCCATGTTTACTGTCCCAAGGAGCCATGTTTACTGTTTAAAGTTCACAACACAAATAAACAACATAAGATAAGTTATCTCAATTTATACATTTTCTTGGTCATTTTCCTTCTCGCTGACGTCATCATCTGTTTCCTACTCTTCGTCTTCATCGGAAAATTCCATATCAAATAACAGCAGATGTCGTATTTAAACCTTTAGAAACTAGTTTATCTATCTGGATCATAATTTGTGTATGTTATCTACTATTTCTGAGTGGTAGAATGTAGTTTTCTATTAAAGTTGTATACCTGCTGAAAAAATCTTCTTCGTTATAAGGTTGTATGCGCTCTTCCGTCATTTCCTGAGCAGCATCACTTTCCTCCTCATTGTCTATAAATGTATTGTATATTTTATTGGATTTTTGTTCGTTGCTCTTTTCCACAAATTAACATAAGCCTAATTATCTTCTACAGAATTTTCTTCATGCTCGCTATCGCTCAACTCATCGTGTTTTTGTTTCTTTGATTCCCTGTGTTCAGGACACCATCCGCTTTTGACATGTCTTTGCACGTCGTGATTAGTGTCGAATAATTGCCCACAATCATCGCAAGCTTGTCCTTTACTTTCCATTATTTTTTTGCAAATTATTTTCGTAATTATCTTGCGACTTCTTGGGTTCTAAGTAATCATTGATGTGATCTGTTTGAACTCCAGCTGTAGAATGATTAACTTCTGGAAAAGCGTTTTCTTTGACAGACCCTAATGTGATCATGTGACCCTCGTATTCAGCATTTTTACAAAATGCATTTTGTTCAATACATTTTATCCTCTGATTGTCTGGAGTAAACGGTTTTAAATCCACTAATAAATACCCGTAAGGATACTTGGTATTTTTTGCAAATGCTTTTAAGAACATTTCAGTATTCCCTGGGTACATCTGCCGAGCTAATGTCATCACTGATTGCTTATCTACAGGGTTATTAAACACAATTAAATAGTGACAATTCCTTCTCTGTGTAGGATCTTTGTTTCCAAACAAATTCTGATTAATTGAAATGATTGAGAGAGACCTGTTATGAGATCCCTCAGTAAACAAGTCAGTGATCCTTTTGTCTTTACAAGTCTCTGAGAACAAATCATCAATGATCAATAGATTGTTGACTTTAGGATCAAAGTAGTCGTCGTCATCTAGGTCGGATGGTAAACCTTGAATGAATTCACTCTTGGAAAAACAATTCTCTTAATGAAGGTGTATAAAGGCTGTCATCGTCGATAAAGCCACACAAACCTTTAAATTTTGGGTTGAATTTTTGATTTATGATTCTGCAGCAAATCCTTTACCGTCGTGGTCTTCCCACAGGCTGAAAATACATATTATTTTAACTATTATTAATGCAAAGTGATACGAAATAAAACAAGGTACAATAGAATGCTCGAAAGAAAAGAGGAAAAAAATCTTATAAATTTGAAAGAGAACTGTCAAAAATCTATGTTGTGAATTAAACAAAATGTTGAAATTATTTGTGAAATTTCAAAATATTTTTAAATTATCAAATGTATATGGAACTACTGAAATGCTAAAGATTTTAAGTTTTAAGAAATAGTAAGTTGAAAACAACAATTACCTGTAGGACCTGAAATCATCATGGTAAATGGGTGTTGAAAAATAAAGTCTTTCCTATCACCCTCTTGTGCTGACGATGGTGGTGGTGTCATTCCAACCATCGGTGGTGTTGGTAGAGGAGGCGCTCCCTGAGGAGTAGGAGGCACTCCCAAATGCACTTCCTGAAGAGGAGGATGATGCGTTCCTAATTTAGTTCCCTGAGGAGGTGGAGGCGCTCCCTCTGCTCCCAAAATGCGATGAGTTAGAGGAGGAGGAGGAGGCGCTACCAAATGCACCATCTGGGGAGAAGGAGGAGGATACGCTTGACTGGCTCTTTCATGCATTTGTCTCTGGTGTCGTAACATATTGTCTCTTTTCGAAAAATGTTGATGACACTCTGGACACTGTATTTTATCCATCCTCTCAGTTCAAAAGTCAAACACGTAATGAGGCAAATAACTATTTTGTTTTGGTTTTATAATCATATTTCTTTATTGACCAGTTCTACACCATCGTTTGCACAGACCTCAACAAATCACATGGTTTGATTCTTTAAGTTCGCCTATATCATAATTATCAGATTCATTAGTGCTTCATTTCTTATCGTGTGAGCTAACGGAGAGGTTCTTAAATCATTTTCTATAGTTTTTATAGTCTTAGCACCAAAGAAATTGGATTATAATCGTATTTTCTTGGTCTCGCCCGGCTCTATTCTTAGTCTCGCCTGGATTTTTCTTAGTCTCGTCTGGCTTTTCTTAGTCTCGTCTGATTTTTATTCTGTGTGTTCTTAATTAAATTTGAAATATCTGAAGGATACCTTAATAATCCTATTTTACGTTTTGTAATAAAATTAAGAGAAAAATAATATATGTGTATATATCTCTTTATCAAAGTTTATTATTTAACTCGAGACTTATACTGCATTTTTCATTATCATTTTAGTCGTACAACAATCAACATGGCTTATACCTGCGAACAGTGCGAAGCTAGTTTCACTAAGCTAAGTCAGTTGCTCCAGCATAGAAGATTAGAAAATCATTGGCAAAAATTTACATGCCCTAGCTGCAAGAAGACTTACAATAGAAAACAGAACTTAGATCGTCATATGACGAAACATGCCGACGAAAATTCTCACCACTGTCCAGAATGTCTTAAAGTGTTTACAAGGAAAGATGCACTTGATGAACATTGTTCACAACATGAAAATCAAAGTGGTTGTGGAATGAAAGAACTCATGGTGATGATAATCATAATAGCTCAGGAAAACGACAAAAATTAACACAAAAGGATAATGCCACGGAATACTATAACATTGAGAAAATAAACGAAAGACGAATTGAAAAGTTCAACACCACAGCGTCTTACTATAACATTAAAATCAAGGACTTGGAAGTGAGAGATTTACCAAATATTTTAAAAACACTGAATGTAATATTTCAGTCTATACTGCATGAATTACAGAACATATTCCAGCTAATGATTTAGTGAGGGTGTCAATGGATAATCCAGAACTGGACTTTCCAATTGTCTTAAAATTCATGCCAAGATCAGCTCTTACTGTAGATAGACTTTTATCAGAGATTGAAAGAGTACTTCAATCGTACGAACAATTTGTTGTTGACGAGACATTTGGTATCAAATTGGTTCATGTTGCAATTGTTAAAGGCTCAGGATACAGAATGAAACCAACAGTAGACATTACTCAAATGTTACAGAACAAGAAAAAAAAATCAAATAAAAAATAAAGGGTAAATTTGGGTGTGGGAAAAAGGGCCAGCTAAAAGCATAGCTCTTGTTTTAAAAAACCCCAAGGGACGGGATATGAAAAAACCGTCAATACAACGAGACTTGGCCATAGAACTTAACCGAAAAGCGGACGTGCCACTTGGTAAATGCAGAATAGAAGAAGTGAAAATATTCCAATCTTCCTTATTAAACTGCCAAATACATGTCGTATCGAAAGCTCACTTCAACGCTATCATTTATCAAGGTCCAGAAGGAGGTGTGCCTATATACATCTACAGTAATGATGATCATTTCGACGTCATAACGTCAATGACGGGATTTTTAAACAGACACTATTTTTGTCAAAAATGCAAAAAGGATATCAAACAAAAGAACGCCATGCCTGTAATAACCCCTGCCATTATTGTCGTAAGCTTCACATAGACAATTCTGAAGACTGGCAATATTGTGAAATTTGCAACTGTAAATTTGTTAATCAAACCTGTTACGCACTACATTGTAAGAAGACAGAAAAGGGAAAATCAACATGTGACTTGTATTACATATGTAAACATTGCAGCTAACTTATTAATCGTTCAAACAGAAACATGACCATATTTGTGGTGAAAGGTTTTGAGATACATGCAGAGATTTTGTTAATGAAAAACACTTATGCTATATGCATCAAGTTGAAGATGATGACGCTCTAGCAGAAAATGAGGCAAAGAGAGAAAAACAAACAAAATACATTTTGATCACGAATGCCAAAAGACAAACGTCTTGAATGTTTTGCTGGTTACCTTCCTGGTGTTGGTAATACATGTGCTCATTGTAAAAAGTCCTGGTGTGGGTCTATGGAACATAGGCCAAATTTATGTGTAGCACATAAGGTTTGTAGCACTTTCATGCATCTTGGAGTTAGTTCGTCCTCTGAATGTTCAAATTGTGGGCCCAATGAATGGGTGTTTTCAGGTTCAAATACAATCGAGTCCTTTTGCAAATGGTTATTTACGGTTGAAAATAAGGATGCCACAGTTCTTTGCCATAATTTCAAAGGGTATGATAGTTATCCGATCATGAAATTTTTGTATGACATCGCCATTCTGCCCGAGGTGATCACAACAGGATCACAATATATGTCAATTGTAGTACCTATCTTTCGAATAAGATTCATTGACTCTTTGAATTTTATTCCAATGGCCCTCGTAGACATGCCTAAAGCTTTTGGAGAAACAGAACAGGCAAAATGGTACTTTCCACATCTATTCAATACAACAGAAATTTACTCGGTAGAACTTGATCATTTGCCTGAAATAAAGTATTATAACCCAGACAGTATGAAGTCAGAATCACGTCAGACATTTTTAAAATTGTACGATATAAATAAGCACACACATTTCTCACTGCAGGCAGAGCTTTTGCGTTATCGCCAATCTGATGTTGATATTCTTAGAAAATGTTAAAAACAACAGAACACTTTTCAAAGAACTTACTCAAACATCAAACAATGATGGAATAGATCCATTTGCGAAATGCATTACAATAGCATCAGCTTGTAATCTTGTTTTTAGGAGTCATTTCCTAGATGACGAAACTATTGGTATTATTCCGTCTCATGGATACCGCCCAGAGGCTAAACAGTCTGTAATGGCTTATCAATGGTTATCCTACCTTGCATTTGAAAGGCAAATATTTATTCAACATGGTCGAAATAAGGGGGAGAAACAGATAGGACCTTATAAAGTTGATGGGTACTATGAAACAGAAGACAGTCAAAAAGTTGTTCTAGAGTTCCATGGAAATTTCTGGCATGGTGTCCAAAATGTTTTTCCAAAAGCACAATTAATCGGGTCAATGGATTATCCATGTCTGAATTATACAAAAACAACCTTGATAAGCAAAAGTGTCTTAAATCTGAAGGGCATATTTATGAATGTATATTGGAATGCGATTTCAAAAAGAAATTAAATTCTAATCCCATCATGAAAGCATACATCGATTCTTTGGAAATAGTTTTACCCTTAGAACCAAGAGGTGCATTCCATGGTGTACGTACTAAAGCATTTAAAATATATGCAGAGTCCTCGGCTGATACTCAGATTAAGTACTTCGATGTTACATCTCTGTATCCATTTATCAATAAAACAGGGAAAATTCCCCTTGGAGATCAAACTATAATCACTGACAATTTTGAGGATTTCAGTAATTATGAAGGGTTAATAAAATCTAAGATCCTTCCGCCAAAGAAACTGTATATTCCCGTCCTGCCAACCAAATGCAATGGTAAGCTTATATTCACTCTCTGTCGCACCTGTAGTGAAACATATGAAATTGGAAAATGTTGTCATATAGATGAAGAAAGAGCCATTACAGGCACATGGGTCACCGATGGAGTGAAGATGGCTTTATCCCAAGGTTACAAGTTACTTAAAATTTACGAAGTATGGCATTTTAATGAAATAGCCAAATACGACCCTCGTACCAAAACAGGTGGTCTTTTTACAGAATATGTGACTATTTTCCTGAAAGTTAAACAAGAAGCCAGTGGTTGGCCAAACTGCTGTAAAATTGACAGACCGACAAAAATATATAAAACACTATTTTGAAAGGGAGAGCATTTTGCTAGAGTATAATAATATTGAGGAAAATTCCGGCCTGAGACTTTTAGCTAAAATCATTCTTAACTCTTTCTGGAAGAAATTTGGACAGCGTTCAAACTTGACGCAGACAAGTTATATTGACGACCCAGTTCAATTTATTGACATGATGACAAGAAATAAAGAACGTACGTTTCAGAAGCAGTCCAGTAAGACTGGACATATAATACTGATTTCATAGAATAATGTTGTTGTGGCTGCATACACAACAGCTCAAGCCCGATTGAAATTATAAGTTATTTACAACCATTAGGTGAAAGGGTTTTGTTTTGTGATACCGATTCTGTTGTGTTCAACTCTGCACAGGGTGAGTGGGATCCTCCATTAGGTGACTTCCTAGGTGATTTAACGGACGAAGCTCCAAACAATCAAATAGCTAAATTCGCCACTGGGGGACCAAAGAACTATGCATATTGCTTAGCAAAACCAAACAAAAAAGGTCAATCTTCAGTTTGTAAAGTCAGGGGAGTAACGCTGAATTATAAGAACTTATTGGATATTAATTTTGATTGTTTGATAGTTTGTTTCATTTTACGCCTTTTTCCAACAGTATTTCAGTCATATAGGCGGGTAGTTTCCTGACCATCGTTCCTGGAGAGTTACACCAGTACTAGACTACCTTCCTCCGCGCTTAACTACCAAAGCATCTCCCGGGGATCGAACCCACGCCAGAGAGGTAACTGGATTAGAAGTCATCGACTCTAACCCCTCGACCACGCAGGCGGTATTAATTTTGATACTTTTAAAGATATGGTTACGGGACAAATACAAAATCAATGCATTAAAGTTGTAGACAGTAATAAAATCTCTAGAAATAGAGAAACTTGCCACATCATAACGAGAACTGAAACCAAAGATTACAAAATTGTGTTTGCCACGAGAGTGATCTCTGAAAATTACAACTCATTCCCTTACGGTTATTAGTCATGTTTTAAAAATCACGATGTTTAATTTATTTAAATGCATTTACTTATATACACGTATAGATAATGTATTTATGTATTTTACATTTGTTTCAATTAACGGAGACTTGCATATTTATGTTGTCATTATTGTAAATAAAATACGCCTAAAGCCACAAAATCTTATTATTCTTTTATGTCCGTCTTATTCAACACACAGACTACAGGCTAACGCCAGTAGACATCCCTATACCTATCTTAGTAATAATGTAAAACTCTTACCGGTTAGATATATACATTAGATGACAATGTTAATTTATATTTCTGATTAATTGTTAATAGGATTAAACACTAACTACACTTCTTAGAGTTTAACCCACCAACATGACCGAGTTCAATACTTTAAGTACAAAACTAAGCTTTTGGGAAAAAATAATTATTGGAAAAAATAATACTAAACCCATCAATATTCAAAGTTTAGCGGACAGGTTAAACTATCGTCTGCTAGATATACCAAGATAGCGACTCGCTATTGTTACGCTTGAGTGATTTTATTTTTTTACTCAAAAATGTGGTCTATCCTTCACCCCTTGACTACTACTTCATCATATCAATATACTAAGATATACATGTATGCACTATGCACATAACATTAATAATTCCCAGTTTCTATTAAGTAAATATGAAATGCTAACATTAACATTAACATTGGTACTAATGGATGGAATTCAAAATATAATAGAAAGAAAACTATTATGTATGAACTCTATTATAGATGCTATTATTAGCCAGCTAACACTGGGTAAAAACACATATAACCTGTCGACTAATCAAAACATGTATAATAATTAATAAATTTAAATGAAGGTCTCATCCATCATAATTGTAAGTCTTTAAATACAGAAATATTTTAAGTCACATTATATCAATATTCTAAGAAACACATGTATGCACATAACATAAATAACTCCCAGTTTCAATTAAAAATAAATATAGCATCCTATTAACATTGGTACTTGGATGGAATCCATAATCTTGTACAAAAACTATAATGTATAGTATAAAAGAGAAACAAAATCTCAAACAGTCTACATCATATAATAAAGATTGAGTTGTGTGAGTGTCTAAACATTAAATGCATATCTCTACAGTAACAAATACTGTCCCTCTTTTAACCTTCCATTAGACTTTACTATACATGTATAACTATCTGCAAATATATATCAAATGTTTAAAATTTAAAACTTCAGAATGTGATCCTTTCTCTGTTTCAATATATGGACATGAGCACCTATATGAATAGCTTTAATTTTCTACCTTTCAATTTTACCAAAGGTTATTTTATTAATAACACATAGAAAAAATAAATAATTTCATATAGTGATTAGAAGAATCCTGTAGCGGAATACCTGTAGGTATGTACTAACTGAACAAACTAGAACAATCCAGTCTAAGGTATAT